ATAAGTGTAAACTTCAGGGTCTTGGCCTGTAGATGAGTGTAAACTTCAGAGTCCTGGCCTGTAGATGAGTGTAAACTTCAGAGTCCTGGCCTGTAGATGAGTGTAGACTGCAGAGTCCTGGCCTGTAGATGAGTGTAAACTGCAGATTCCTGGCCTGACAATGTAGCTCGTCTGTGCTGGCTCATTCTTTTGAACAGTGGCTGTTTTGTTTCCCCGATGTATGACTGATAACAGTCCTCCTGACACTTAACAGCATATACTATATTACTCTGTTTTTGCCAGGGAACTGGATCTTTGGGGTGAACTAATCTTTGTCGTAAAGAAGAACCCATACAGAGGACCCACTTATTTTTTCTTTTTGATTTTTTCCTACCTGGATTACTGAGATGCATCAGGACATGCAGAATAGCCATTGAGGACCAGGATTGCTCACCCTTGGTCTATACCCAGCATTTGTGTAGTAACAGACAATGTTTGGTAGAGAAACTGTGAGAAATTAAACAAACTGTTGTGGAAAAGTATTATGGTACCTAATATAGTGTTTTGCTGTTTTGCAATAAGAGTGGTTTTATAAGCTGGAAAAAAAAAACAATTAACAAAAACAAGCCCTTCTTTAGCTTGCCTAGACAAAGACTTTTGTCCCTTTCATCATACACCATTCTCTAACTGATTTCACAGCTGGAAATTTACCAACTAATGAACTATTAGTACATATCAATATGTTTAGATGCACATTTTTCTAATTAAATAATTTTTTGCAGCTATGTATTATTTGCAGCTAGTCTTTTACTTTACAAAAAATGGACTCTACACATACACTGTAATTACATACAGTATAAATGTATACTGACAAGTACATTTACAGAGATTCATATGTTAACACTAACGAGGGGCAAATGCTTTGTTTTCTAGGGAATGGATTACAGCACAGAAAAGCAATTATCAGTGTCTTGTTTTGTTTTTTTGTTAATTGGTTTGTTTTAATGGACATAAAATTTAGTCCCCGTCCCCCACACATTCCAAAAGAAGCAGAGCAGCAACTTGAAGGGACTCTGCAAAGACGGCTGAAACATGAGAGCACATACAGAGTGAGGTGGGGGGGGACTGTCTCAGTGACAGCACAGTGGTGAGGCGGGAGGGAGGAACACATGGAAATCAGCAAAAAGCACACTGAAGGTTAGGAAGAGAACTACAGTCTTTATTGGAAAATATTAGTACGTGTGGCACTGTGTGATAATAGTAATAATAAGAGTATTATATATGTCCTACATAGCCATAATAATAATAATAATAATAATAATAACATGCAAATTTGACAAAAAGTGAGGCCTGACCATGCTTTCTGTATAGGGTTAACAAAACAGAAGCAGCATCCAATGAGTAGATGTGTAATGCTTACAGCACATTTCAGTACAGCAGGGACATCTCTACACAAAGAGTACATTAGAATCTGCTGTTCAATGTGGAAAAAACAAAGGTATAAAAATGACCATGCATTAGGTTCTAATACAAAATAAAGAACTCAAATCAAAAACATAAGGTAGAAAAAACCACAACCAAAGAATAAAAAAAGACATTTTGACTCTAAAAAAAGGAGTTCTACAGCAGTGCAGGATATACACATCTCTGTAAAATGGATAGCATTCTGGAGGAAAGACTCGAGAAGGAGGAGGGGCGTTGTGCATGACAGTGGGTTATTTTTTTTTCTCCCCCAAGACGAGCTAGAAAATGTGTCTCGCCGGTTTATTGTGAAATCAATTCGGCCAGCAGGAACACAGGCTTTGACACATGGATAAGGGTTATGACCGGCTGTTTGGACATCACTTTAACAGGTGCAGTGGACCATCAGAGGTGAAAATAATACGTTAGAAACTGGCGTGATTTTCCCCAGCTCTACGAATGTTTTTGACCAATTAGTAAATGCATAAATTATAAAATGAGTTAAAGAAAAAAATATGCTGGTACAATGCACCTTTATCCAAATACAGGATGGAGACAGTAACCATACAGTTCGATCAAGCCTGGCTGTAATCGAATCCAGGAGGATCAAAATGTATCCACTTTACAGAAATTTACAGCAGAATGTAGTCTATCCACACTGAATGGGAAGAATCACAATGACAGCCTGTAGTAAAGTCTACAATAATGGGTTATTCACTAAAGAGCAACATGACAGTTTAAATAAAGACAAACTGTTTTCTACAGAAAGTGTTATTCTTTAGTCTGTTACATAGAAGGATACGGTATGAGTGGGGGGAACTCGGTTTGTTTGTTTGTTTGTTTTTTAATGCCAATGTCTTCTTCAGATGGAAAGAGGAAATGAGGAAGAAGGGGTTCACAATAACAGCTAGATGCAGAGAACAGGCAGAGGCTATACGGCAGACAGCAGCAGATGATCGTTAGCTACACAATGGAGGGGGACAAAGGTCTGAGAAATGCGGAATGTAGAGCCAGCCTCGATACTATGGAACAGGAAAAAAGAACACAAATAAAAGCACAATGAAATCATTGGTGCTACTGCATCAAAGTTCTACTACTATTATTATTATTATGATTATTATTACAGAATCAACACAGATAGCCCGCAGCATTTGAAAGCAGTAGTAGTTTTTTATGTCAAATTCATTTTTTCCACTTTGAAGCTTTGTTTATTGGTTTGACTGGAAACCAATACTGTAAATGAAAATAAAAACGAATATAAAATAAATCTTATTTCATGAATGCAAATTAAAATTGTCACGATTTTTTAAAGATACAAACGCATTACATTTAATTTTTTTTATTGTCATTGCCTGTTATAATAGCATTAAGAGCGACGACGAAAAAAATAAAAAATAAAATACTGCAAACGGACGTTAACACAACGCAGATATTAAACGAGACAGCGCCGCGTTAATGACTGAATAAAACAAAAAGGCTGTCATTTGACAGACGGGTCCATTTGGTGCCCAAAACAGGCCTCGAAACAACCTAAAATAACACATCTGTGACCAAACAGACAGTCAATAATGTCTCTAGTCACCGGTGAGCGTGTTTTTACGGTTTCGGTCCGACGCTGCAGCTGAGCTAGCCACACGGCTAACGCTGTCTCCATCGCTCCTTTACGCTGCCTCGGTCTTTTTTTTTTAACTAGCAGGTGTCAGCTTTGTTTACATCATCTGCGGATGTTTCGAAAGAAAGAGACGCCGAGGAACGCTGTTAGAGTCGGGACAAAATGGTAGTCATACCTCTGTTTCTAACTGAGCCGAAGACGGGGAGAACCAGATATCCGACATGGACTAACACCATCCTGGGTCCTTCTTTGTTGTGAATGCAGCCAGAGAGACAGATGGTCCATGGAAATGATCCCCTCCAGTCACCCCCCCTGCATGTTCAAACCGACAGTCTGCTATGCCTGCTTTCAGGGAGGCCTGCGACCAATCACTGGACCCTTCCGAACAAGACCCTCCGGCTTTTGCACCCGGATCAACCAATGGGATCAGGGCAGGGGCGGAGCTAACTGTGTGTTTTTGGACAGGCCGCCCTCTTTATGACTTGATTCTTCATTCCCAAACATGGGTCACTAACCTCAGATTTTATACAGTCTGCTACACTGGCAAGTTATATTCTGACCTCTATTATTATCATATTGAGAAACGTTTCTCATGGGACTGGACTTTGAATGAAGAAAATATAAAAATTAGAGGCCTTGCATTCCATCTCACCCCCAGAAATGATGGGCATTTTAGTTAAAGCTTTAATATATTATCATGCAAAATCTCATGCAGTATTGTCTGTTAGGGCCTGAAGTATAGGTAGAGGACTCTCAGCTTCCACTATATACAATTTCAGCTCAATAGCTGTAAAATGTAGTAAATCGTTTTTGGATTAAATGTGGTGGCCATCTTGAACTGAAAAAAAAAAGTTACTCATTTGTAAATTTACATCCAATTTACATCCTTTTTGACAGTTTCATTAAAATATGGCAAGTGACTAGGTTTGGGCAATATTGGTCAAAAAATAATCATGATTAATTAGCCAATAACGATTAATGTGACAATTAATAATAATAATTTAATAATAATAATTTATTTAATAGGGACAGACACACATYGACATAGACAAACTGAATAAAACAGCAGTCCCATGTTTGCATCATGGTGCAATAGCAACAGCTAATTCGCAGCACTTGTCCCTAGATGGGCTTTTAAAAAAATAACTCTAAAAATTGAAATGATAATCAGTTAAAATAGCACAACATACTATATACAAACAGTGAAATGTAAAACATCAAAAGTGAGTACAGGTCTGTTTTTGACGTAACTAGAGTTTTGTTTGGTTTTTGAACATTCTAAAACTGGTTACAGACTTTAAATTAACAGGAAGTGAATTCCCCGGAGTCCCTGGACTTCCTGATATCCTAGTCACATGACCAATTTAAACCACTCTAGTGGGAAAGATTTGCTCACTGCAAAAATCTGTTCCAAATTGTGTCAAAAGTACAGATTTCAGACTATGCATCAATTTGTAAATTGTGTTGATAGACCAAGTAAAACTGGAGTCATGATAAATTACAGAACCTTTTTTAAAAATGTTCATCTTATTTGAAGCAGAGGGCCGAACTGAGCGGACTGACCAGGGAAATCTCCAGTCAGTCTGCCTGGTGGCATTAACCGTATTAAGTGACAAAAAATAATCGACTGAAGTTTTTCTGACAATTAATTGCACACAATATGATTTTGCCCAACTCGAGATATTTTGCTAACAGAAAGGAAGGGCCAGCATTATTAATGTTAAGGTTTTATGCAGAAATATATCACAATGTGTCGCACAGATGTGTTGGTGATGACACAGCTACCACACCAAATTTATGCTTGATACTGATTGAACTGAGGAGGTTAAAAACATTTTTTGCACTGGTTAAGATTAATGAGGTAGATGCATGGCCAACAAATAAAATCTATCCACTGGGTAATGATATTTTGTTAATGCAATTAGCAAAGACACACACAGACAGGGAAAAGCATTATCATCGACATCTTCTCCTTGAAAATGCATAAGTTTTGCCTTGTTTTATTGTCTTTAACATGAAACAAAAGCTGCATGCCTTTTCTCTGTACAGCAGAAGGGGTGGAAGGAAAAAAAAGAGAAAAATTCTCCGCCTCAAGAGTTAACCCCAAAGGATGGAGGAACAGATGGGTGTAGAGAGTAGAGACACTGAAAAGGTCACAAAACCTTATGTCCTCATTTCCACTTCCCACAAACTAATGCTTTAAGGCCGGGGTAAAAAAAAAATGCACACAAAGAGCCTTTCATAACACCTCACTATCACTGCGACACAAACTCACTTCATCTACATACAAAATTTTAATAAAGTCGTAGAAATAAACTGGAAGCACGTGTGTAACTTGAATAGAAATATGGTTCAGACATCTGCAAAAGGAAGGAACATGATTTCTAGCTCCGACTCAGGACCATTCACTGAGAGGCCACCACACTCTAGTATGAAAAGTAAATTAGCATACAGCTGATGTTCTGGCTGTAGGGTGAAAGGAGGCAGCAAAAGGGCCCTGCAGACTGCGTTGCTCCACTCCTTCATTGTCTACTTCACATGAACTCTGGATGTCCCTCTAGTGGCAGGTGTCACCGTATGACCTCTGACCTCACACGCCAGATTGCTTTGTGAGGGTGAAGGATTATTTACAACTTTGCAGTTGTCTAGACTGAACACCGAACAAAAGAAAACATCTTAGTTTTTTAGAGCTTATAGTGGAGAATACTCTCAGCCGAACACAGCATCTTGTCTCATTTGAATGTGTGGGTATTTGTATCACCTGGCATCCGTTTCTACAGCGACAACAAAACGCTTGTACAAGAAATCATTAAATAACACTATTTATTTACTCTTAAAATAGTTTCTTTTTGTTCTACAGATTTGATTTCAAGGAAGTCAGGGTCCTGCAGAAGCAACAAAATAAACTTTTTCTTTTGTTAGAATAAAATACTGACAGTCAAACAGAATCAAAAACAAAAGAGCAAAGGCTGAATTGCAGGTAGCGAATAAAATGTCTCAACTGAGGCTAAAATATGCATTTTAACAAGCAATGTGCAACAGTAATCATACATCCTTGCCCAGATTTGTTCACTCATATCATTAATAATAAGTGATGTTTTACCAAAAGTAATCCCGTGTAGCAGTAGTAGATTTTGTGAAGCAGAACCGATCTAACAGAGTTAATATAGAGGCAGGTAGAAAAAACTGGCCAAAAATGATAAAAAAAAAAAAAAAAAAAATTGAATTTAAAACATCTTTAAACAAAAGTACAGATTTTTTTCTAATTAAATTAGATAAAGGGAGTTTACAGTAAAATGAAAAACACATCCTCCACTTGGACTTTGGTTTAGATTTTTATAGTTTTCCCTTTCTGTGACCTGCAGAAATTAATGCATTTCTTTCATCCTGAAGCATCAGTGAAAAGAAACTTGTTTTCCCGTGTCTAATAGAAGCAATTAGAAAGAGTTTGTAAATTTTGCATATTCGTAAAAACTGACCAGCATGGCCGCAGTGCTGTTCGAGGACAAAATAGGGAACGAGGAAGGCCCCGAGGAACAGGGTAAAAACAGCACACACACACAAACACACACACACACTAAATGTCTCACAGCTCCCCACACACGAGCACAAACTCAACACTACTTATACTTTATATATATAGATATTTATGCTTGTTTTGCAAATATTAAAATACACACATGTGAGACTGAAAAAAATGCTCTACTTTGTCATTTAAAATAAGCTTTTTACCATTCTAAAAGAAAAAAATAGTGCACAGTTCAAAGGCATTCAAGCCATCTTGCTTTGCAGTACTCAAAGGAAGATACATTTCCTCGGTTATTAAAAAGGGTTCCCCAGAGTTTTTAAGAGTTTCCAGCTATTCAAAATAAACACAAGAGTAAAACCACCCATCCAGCACTGCAAGGTCATACATTCACCAAAACTAGACAAAAATGTGCTTCGATACATTTTAAACTGAAATTTACTTTTGCAATTACACTACTAGGATTTCGTGAGAATGTGGCGAAAATGAACCAGTTTTTTAGTGTCTGAAGTGTGTGAATGATATACAGATTCATACAAAACGGGAGTTTAAACAGTGGTTTCCTGTAACAGCAGAAACAAAGCCTACAAATGTAACTAAACAAAATGTAGGAAATGTTTATTTGCACACTTGTGAAGATTATTCAACAAATAAGACCAACACTCGCGTGTATTTGTCAAATAGAAACTCATCAGCCAATCAGATTAAAACCTATTCAACTTGTCATCAAATTATTCATTAAAAGTTTGCATTGAAAAAAAAAAAAACACTTAGAACCCTGAAAATAGGTGAATTTTGTTCAACTCAATTAACTTTCAGTGATTATATATATATATATTTTTTTCTCTTAATATTTATTGGCTCTATTAAGATAAATCCAAACATGTTCTGTCAGCATTAGAAATAGCTGTGCCTATTTTAGACACTGTGCAAAGCAAGCTATGAATGCAGACCGATTTCTGTGCTCATCCAGTGTTGAACCCAAAATTGCCCCTAAACAAAATCTATTCATAATCTACTGAACTGTACAATGGAAACATATCAGCTGCAGCCTTTTTTTTTTTTTTACTGCAGGTAAAAATGCTAAATCTGGTTTGAAAACACCTATAGTCTGTAGTGAAGCAGGCCAATAGCCAGGTTGTGACAATAACCTGCTGTTAAGCAGCGTGAAGTTCTCACTTTACAGCTTAAGAGCACATGGGATGACTACGTACATTAGTGAGGTGTGATAGAGGTATTGCTATAATTAACAGATAAATCACTCTTGTACATTTCCACTTGCACTTACAGTGCTGTGCCGTTTCATTCCTGCTGAACTTGGAGCAAACAAGCTAAAAATAGGGAATCACATCAGTAGAATGGCTTTGATACACGACTGTTGAACACAAAGTTAAAAACAAAAAGTGCTCTGGAGCGGGAGGAGGCCACGAGCAGCTGCAGGTGGCTGCAAATTTTAAAGGATTTCAGCCTAAACTTGGATACAAGGAGGAAAACTACGAGTTTTCGGTGTTTGAGCTGTTTAAAGTAGATATTTTTGCGCGGCGTCCTCATCCAGGGTGAGGTCCACCACTTCGGGAGGGGACACCCAGTTAGGTCGAGGTGAAACGGCAGTCCAGAGCTGAGACTGATTTGTGCTGTTTAACTGCTCCACTGAGCTCTCCTTCCAGGAAGACAAACTCTTTATCACCCCTCCACATGGATGGGCACACCTAGTTGATAAAAAGAGAAAGAATGAGTTAATCTTACAAGTGTGCGGTAGTAATAGAAAAAAAAAATACAATTAGCCACATATTAAGTGTCTTTACCGTGCTTTTTCTTGCACTCCAACTATTTCCACCTCACTGTCAGAGGAAGCAACATTAATCTGGCCTTTGTGCTGAGAGCTCTCCTTGTGCGACAGCTCTGCCTCCACACGGCCTGAAATAAATAAAACCAATAGTCACACATTGGGAGGAGGATCAAAGCAGTGGAGAGCCTCAGGCCTCGCTGACGCATGAAGACTGCAGCTGCTTTCACAGACAAAAACAAACCAGCAATGAATGGACGCTTGCATTAAATAAATGACTTCATAGAATGAATTGAAAGATGATTGATTTAATACTTGTGATTTGTGTTTACATCACCATGTCAGTTCAATTTCAAAAGCACTCAATGAAAACCATGAGTGTGTGAGTTCAAGTGTACTTCAAAGGCATCTTGTTGACATAAAAAAGCCAGTTTCCCCGCACTACAGGTGACACCTATGCCCTTTAAAGCCCACCCTCTGCCTTCACTGAGAGAAAACGAGGATAAATACCGGGTTCGTAACTGACCTGAGATAGAGCTCAGAGCTCTTATACACACAGAGTGTGCTGCCATATCCTGGCCTCTGTGTGTTTTTAGCTCATGCCTTATCACCGTAGGCCGAACTGTCGCCACACTCACACTCTCCTGGTTAGAATCAGTGTCTGAAATATCATAGTGACCCACTACTGGAGGCCCGTCTGCAGGAAACAAAGAAAACACTTTATTATTTAAATCACGCCTGGGATTAGAGGGACTCTGTTCGGAGCAGAGACTGGACACAGTAGCTGGTCTTGCAGCATCTAGAATTTACATCACCAAATATATTCTGCAGTTCCCACAGTTGACGATTTATCAACTGTGGGGATTGCAGAATATATTATGAGTTTATGAGATGTGCAAATCACAGCAATCTGTTTTTATTTACACTTTATACAACACTCCAATATTTTTGGAATTGGGGTTGTTTCTTTTTACAGTGGTTTTTACTTCATTAATAAATCTTCTGCAGCACAACGCATTTTTTTCCTTACTGTTTATTGGTTTTAAAATAACAGCCATTCACATAAAAACTACACTAGATTACAGTTATTACAAACCACCTAAAATAACTTTTGTTCAGTGAATTAAATGTAATCGAATACAACAGAGTGGACAAGCAGAAATGTGTATATTTGTTCTACCCTGTAAAAAGAAATCTCTTGGAGAGTTGCAAGCTCTGTGAACCAGACATGTGTGGG